TCTTTCTTTCTTTCTTTCTTTCTTTCTTTCTTTCTTTCTTTCTTTCTCTTTCTCTCTCTCTCTCTCTCTCTTTATAATAAAGCGCAAATCATTCTGTACATTAAAAGACAGGAAACTCAGAAGTCGGCTAAAAAAGTAGGCTCCCTCCCCCTTATTAATAATTTTGTAAATGTAAACAAAGAGAGGTTCAAGTATAAAAGTGAGTTACTTTGTGACTTGGCAAAAGAGTTTGGCACCTGATGACATGGGTTTTAAAGGTTATTTTTGTTTTGTTTTGCTTTATTTTAAGGAATTCTGGCTCATTGCGAAGCCGGCCGAAAGAAGTCTAGATCTCTGCTACCATATATCGCTGGTGAAACTCAACTCTCTCGTGGATAAGGGGAGCAAAGCAGGGTTTCTGTGGAAGTCCTGGACATCCTTCACGCTGCTGTTCAGCGGCAACTGCCCGTTGAGAAGTGTCAGGGGTATATTGCAGTAAGTGTGGTGGTTACTGCTTATGGCAGCGAGCGGGAGAGTCGCCGATTGCACGTTGTAGTCGTAACCTCTGCAGTAGTGTCTCATCTGTGCTGTGTTGGTGGGCGGATAATCGCCCAAGTCTGCCTGAGAGGAAATTAAAGTAGCAGAAGTGTCCGTCACTGCGATGGAAGGCACTGTTTGGAGGTCAGCAAAGAGACCCTGCTCGGCGGAATCCAGGACTTGGCGCCGCGAGATCACTTCTTTCTTCTTAGCCGGCATCTCATAGAGCAAATGTTTCCAAAATTTAGAATTCGGCTTGTTACTTTGGGGCCCTTTCCACGGGACGACCGAGAAGAGTTTGATGCTGTGCTTCAAGGATTCCACCTCTTGGTAGTTGACTTTCCCTCTCAGCTGGGGGCACTCGATGAAAATGACCTTGATCTCCCCGCCGAGGAGCATGTTGTGGAGTCGGTTTTCCATCTCGAAAATACTCCACCCTCGTCGGAGTACGTAATCCGGCGTGAGGACAATCAGGAGACGGCGGCTTTGTTCTATGCATCGGGTGAGGTCTTCGAGATAGGCTGCAAATCATAAGATGGACAGTAAAGGAGAGAAGTACACACGGGAGAGAAGAGATAAAACTTTGCAATCAAAATAGGGGAAGCGGAGAAGGGAATGGATTAATCTTTCTTGACCAGGGCCACCAACAGTTTAAATGTCAAGGTAACTCCGCCTCCCTTCTTTTCACTGGGCTTGATCACTCCTTCAACTGAGCTCCGATGGCCGAGTCTAATTTCAAGAGCCATCAAGGTGGAGAACTTCGGAAAAAGCTTTTTCTGGACATGAGCTCCTAAGAGTTCATTGTGGTTCGCCAGCAGCCTGTGCAGAAAGCAGTGGAATTGGACAGTGGGGAAGAATGGGGACCAGTCTGGGAGTCTGGGGAGGACCCGCATCCAATGCAGAGATGGGGCCAGGACCATCTGGGAGTGGGGTGTTGACTCTGGAGACTCCAAAATCTGGCAGCAGCGAGGCAGAGGAACAAGGGGAGCCTGGTCCCAGTGCATGTGTGCGCAGAGCTGCTAGAAGGCAAGAGCAGCTAAGACAAAAAGGGTGACAAAAGTAAGGCTTGGAGGTGATTGCTCCTCCCATAATGTATAAAGGACAGGCAAAGGTAAAGAAACCTTTGCAGGAAGCAAAGTTATTCACTCTGTTCAGATTAAACCTTCAAGCTTGTGTTGTTTTTTTACAGTTCATTTGGCACTTTAGTTGTTGGCAGCAATTCAAAGGCGAGAAAGGTGGGTGCTTATCTTGAGGGACTGTTTGGGACTCATTACAGGCTGGGAATGAAAATGATTCCCAGCATTGAAACAAAACAAGCATTGTTTGGACTAAGCATATGCTTGATTATGGTCTCAGGAAGCCTTGGTCAGAACAGAGTTGGAGAAATGCTGGGTATCTATCCTGGCCTTTCCATAATCACAAAGTCACCTGCATGGACAGCAGACTGGACTTTCTTGATGTTTCTGCATCAGGTCTGAACATCTCTACCACTCCTTGATGATATTCCCCCTTCCAAACGGGTCCCCCTGCTAAAATTAATATGGTCTCTCACCCTCTCTAGAAGAAGTTGACTTAACCTCATGTGTCATTCAAAGTCGTAGGGGGAATTTCGGCTCCACGTGTTGTGCGAACCACGTTAGGGGCAGGCGGAGGCCCACCAACTTGGGGAAAGCCTAGTTTAGGGACTTACACATTGCTAAATGACCCTTTCTCCTCGCCTATGTTGTGCAAATGGCAGGCATGACTTGGTTTCTGGTACTTGATGGATTGCGGAGTTTGGGTTGGATTAGCGTTTGATCCCAGGAACACACAATCTCTTTTAGTCAGGGGTGGCCTTCAAAAACGTTAGCAATGGGTTCTCTGCCCAGTTGCTGGGTGGGCGTGGCCATGGTGGGCGTGGCCTAGTTGGCCTCCTGCACCATGATGGCAGTGGGGGGGGGGCTTTTCATCCTCCCTGGGATCCGGAGGCTCTTTGGAAGCCAGAAATGGACCCATTTCCAGCCTTCCTAAACTTCTAGGAGGCCCGTTTTTCACCCTCCCTGAGCCTCTGTGCGCACCCTGCACTTACCTGCATCCAAAATGGGCCACGTGGGGACTCATGGGAGAGGCAGGATGGGGGGTGGGTGGGACCAGCCAGGAATGGGATTTGGGGGTTCTTCAAACTGCAGGGGAATCTTAGCTAGGGGCTGTCCCGAAACCCCTGTGAACACTCAGCAGCCCCACCCCTGCTTTTAGTCATAGAGGGACAAGATTTGGAGGCACCGGTTTTGCTCGGCAGCTGAGCGCTTTGCAACGCTCGGTGGGACAACCTAGCCAAAATCCTACTCTACTTACTTCTTTCAACTCTCCTTCCATTGGAAGATAGGGGCACCAGTTGGAAGAAGAGCCTGCAGAAGAAAGAGCACATTGTAGGGGTTGTTCCGGATGGAACTCATCCCATGTACATCTGGGTTGGGTGGGGTTGGCCCCCCAAAAAGAGAGAGAAAATCATGGACCAGAACTAGCAACATCAATAAATACCACAGACACATGGACACACACAGACAAGACACACAATACTGTTTTGGAGGCTACAGATGGAGAAGATTCCTCACTGGGGTACAGACGTCTTGCTCCCTAGAGTCAAATGTATGTAAAATGTAAGTGACTGGAAGAGGGAGAGGAGAGGAGAACGAGGTCTCTCCGCAAGATCAGATCTGTTCGACTGAATCTGGAGCTGATCTGGGCTTGTCGTGCAAGTGATGTTCACATTTTGGAACAGTGTGCGCGGACAAATCCTCCTGTCTCTTTTGCGTTCCAGTTTGAATGAAATGGGCAGGAACCTTTCCCGCATGCAAAATGATCTGAGCTGATCTGCTCTTTCTGATGACAAGCATCGCCTTGGAGTTCCGCTCCGGAGATCCAACGTGGAAGTTTGCCTCCCCTTTATGAAGCGTGCTCTGTCCTACGAGAGCTCAACTGAGCTGGTGCAGGCTGACTCTGCCCACTGACAGCAGTTCAATCCTGACCGGCTCAAGGTTGACTCAGCCTTCCATCTTTCCAAGGTTGGCAACATGAGGACCCAGTTTGTTGGAGGGGGCAATAGGCCAACTCTATAAACCACTTAGAGAAGGCTGTAAAGCAGTGGTGGGATTCATTTTTTTAAAAAACAACCAGTGTGGGCGTGGCTTGGTGGGTGTGGCAGGGGAAGGATACTATAAAATCTCCAGTCAGAGGTGGTGTTTGCCGGTTCTCTGAACTACTCAAAGTTTCCACTACTGGTTCTCCAGAACTGGTCAGAACCTGCTGAATGCCACCTCTGCTGTAAAGCACCGTGAAGCGGTATATAAGTCTAAGTGCTGTTGCTATTGCTAACTGCAGACATTGTATGGATGTGTGGTTACTGATTCCTCCATACCTATTTCACAAGAGAACAGGCAAGTAAGCAAACGCTGAGTGAGGAGGTGGAAAACTGGTATACATCACAAAGTGTGCGCTTTGCCTTCGTGGATGGATAACCCCTAGTAAGACTCTGAAAAAACTTACATTCTTCTCCCCGTGGATTTGAATGAAATTCCTAAATGACATGCATATTGGATTGCAGACTTCAGTTACAGCTAATCCTCAATTTATTTTATTGTATTTATTTCTCTTGTCAAGCATGCATTTGACAATACATATAAGTGTCATGCCCTATTAGAGACTGACTCCAAAGGAGAGGAGGAACAGTCGACAGGGAGTGGAAGTGTGGCTCCGGAGGTTGTGGAGGAGGCCACGGAAGGGCAGAGGCCGGCTGGGCAATCCGAGGAAGACCCAGGCCCATCCCCTCTCCATCCTAGGGCACGCAGGGAGGAGAGGATAAGGGAGAGACGTGAGTGGCACGGTCTACGGGGGAGGAAAGGGCCCTGATCCTCTTCATGGGCTGCAGCTGTGAGAACTGGTTAAAAGGACAGACATGTGTATGGGCCAGTGCTGGAAACAAAGCATGGAAATATCTCTAGTCTGTCATTCCTCTCTGAGTTTGGCGTCCTTCCCAGTGTGTGTTCCGATATCTGTGGACGTCTTTAAGCCCTTATCATGCCTGGATCCCGTAATTGCTTCAGTGTGGTTTGTGTTGTTTTTTTCTAGTTATAATTTATAGGCATTTTTAGTTTAAATGGCGTTTCCTCCTTTTCATAACTGCTTTTGGGGGAGTTTTTTGTCTCCAGTCAAGGATACTTGGAGCTTTGAAGCAAAGTGAAGGAATAAAAGAGGCTTCACCTGTTTTTTGTTACTGTGTTTTTTGTATCCCACCCTGGGTCATCACAGCTTATGATAGTTGCAGCCTCCCCAGGGTCACGTGATCAACATTCAGATGTTTGGCCACTGACTCATGATTTATGATGGTGGCTCTGTCCTGAGGTCCAGGGAACCTGGTTTTGCGGCCTCCTAACAAGCGAAGTCAGCGGGGAAACTAGAATCCCTTAACAATCGTGTGATCGACTCAACAACTGCAGGGATTCCAACTGTGAAGAGAAAGGCCGCAAAATGGGGGCAAAACTAATTTCACCGCTGTCTCGCTGAGCAGAGGAAATTTGGGCTCGACGACGGTCATTAAGTCGAGGATTCTCCTGCGAATCCCCTCTGCCTTTTTGTAAAAATCCTGACCCCAAAATTAAAATGGATTCTACAACATTCCCTCAGATCGCTGGGAAGCGAGTCTTTCATAAAATCCGCTTCTTACTGTTCCGTTCGCGGTGTCTTCCGACTGCCGCCTCGACTATCAATCTCAGGAACTAGAACAACACTGCCAGGTATGTTCGTCAGCCTGAACATTCATGCTTTTTCTTCCCCCACCCGCCACCGTTCCCCCCATAAGACAGCACAACCCCGTTGGCATTTGCTAATGACCAGAAGCTGTCAAAACCAATCTTTCCTCCCTAGCCAAGAAATCAAGAAACAGCTCTCAGCAAAAGGCCTTTTACAAGATGCGTCTCTGCATCAGCTAGGCTGGCAGAGAAGAGTGTTGTTCCGTTTTACCCTTTAGTGGTTATTTTGCGTGACAGGGACATCTATATACTGTGTTTCCCCCAAAATAAGACCGTGTCTTGTATACTTTTTTTCGCCATGAAAAAAGGCACCAGGTCTTATTTTCGGGGGATGTCATCCACTGACTAATCTCACTTGGGTGTGTTGGTCCCAGCCTCCTTTTCATGGTCAGAGGCCTTCAGGAACTTCTTCTGTGGCCGGCAAGGCTTCCCTGAAGGCCTCTGAAGCCAATAACACAACTCCAGATTGATCTGGGAAATCCTTGCTGTCTGCAGAAGAAATGGGCTGGCAAGGCAGGTGTCGGGGTATGCAATTCCTGGCTACAACTGTCCAAAGGTAAGTAGTAGGGTAGCTCCACCCCACTATCCCCACCCTAGCTTAAATTTTACTTTTATCTTTATTAGGGCTTTTTTTGGGGGGGTAGGGCTGATATTGGTGGATGTGTAAAAATCAAGCTAGGACTTATTTTCAGGATAGGTCGTATTTTTAATATACATGTAAAAGAGAGGGTGACAACTCTCCAGGGGTCCTCAAACTTTTTAAACAGGGGGCCAATTCATGGTCCCTCAGACTGCTGGGGGCCCCAGAACAGATGGGTGGGCATGGCTAGGTGGTCATGCGACTGGGTAGGTGTGGCCAATTGAGCAGTCCATTAAACAATACACACAAATTAAGCTTTAAATTAAACTTTGGGGGTGGAAAGCAGGTTAGGGAAGGAATGTGGCTGCCTTGGGGGAGGTGAGGGTCTTCTCTTTGTGTGTGTGTGTGTGTGTGTGTGTTTTCCCTCTTTCTCTCTCTCTCTCTTGGGGGGGGAAGGAACCCCTGGTGCAAATCTGTTCTCCAGAAGTTGATGAGTAGCGCGTCGAATACCAGCTGGTCGGTGGAGGAATCCCTCAGTGGCCCCAAAAGGCCAGCCAGCGGGTGGGTGAGTGCGCAGCTCTCCTCTTCCAATCCAGTCATCCTCCACCTCCAGTAGCACTCTGCTGGCCTCCAGACACTCAACCACAGCCTTCCCCGATACTTCATTTGTCCTTCTAACAGGGTTGGCTGGTTCCAAGAAACCTACCATCCAGGCTTTCTCAAGAAATTCTACAGTCTGTCCTTTGACTTGGGCAATTTTTTGCCTTAAGTGTGCAAGCCCAAAACAGCACCCTGCCAATAAACTAGCTGCGGTGGTACAGTGGTTAGAGTGCAGCACTGCAGGCTACTTCTGCTGCCTGCTGGCTGCTTGCAATTTAACAGTTCGAATCTCACTGGGCTCATGGTTGACTCAGTCTTCCATCCTTCTGAGGTGGGTAAAATGAGGACCCAGTTTGTTGGGAGCAAGAGGCTGACTCTGTAAACCGCTTAGAGAAGGCTGTAAAAGCATTGTAAAGCGGTATATAAGTCTAAGTGCTATTGCTATGCAAAATGCTAGCCTAAGAATCTCAACCTAGGAAGTTCCTAAGTTCTTCACTCTTCTCCTCTGGTGACAACAATCTCCTGGGGCCACTAAATCCAAGAATAATCTAGGGAGCTCTCCTGAAGCATAGCAAAAAAAAACAACCCCTGCTAGCTCTATTCTATGAATTGTTCTCATTCTCTGACTTTAAGAGTTGTATTTCCTCAGAGAACACGGTCTTGTTTAATTGCTCCAGGTTAAAGCCGATGAAAGATGCATTTAATGGGAACGACAGAGTGAGCATCTCAGAAGCATTCCAAGTTGACTTTCCCTGCCAGACCCAGGAGCTTCTGTGGGTTGCAAAAAAAACCCAAGCTGGCTTGGAATGAAATCAGCCCGAGTTCCCAATTTAAATTCTGCACCATCATCATTAGCGGGTGATTAAGCATTTCTTAATCTTCTGCATGAAAGCATCAAATCTGTTCAAAACTATATGAATCATTTCAGTTTTGCAAGCCAGGAAAGGAAGAAAGGAGACCGCATTATTTATGCTGCGCTGCGAAAAAGCCAACGTGCCAGGTAGCGCTGCACATTATTTTGATGATGCTTAACAACTCTCTGAAATTACAATGATGAAGATTTTTGTTGGCTCGTCTGAGTGACAGATGGACAGAGAAAGAAAATGCAATCCTGCCTTTGGAAGCACCTGTGAGGAAGCTGATTCATCTAAAGCATTTGTTCTCTTCGCTCTTCCTGTATTGACTTAAAAGTCTTTGATTCTGCTCCCTTCTTTTAAAACCAAGCTCGGAGCAACACCAGCTGTGCACAAAATTAAATCTGCTCCCCCCCCCCTCCACATGCACAGCTGTAGGCGGCGTGTAGTTATATACCTGATTCTTTGCTTTAATTTTGATTCGTTGATGATGGGATGTGGAACTACAGCGCTACCCCGAGTGAAAATATTAACAGACGGGGCCAGCCCTGCGTGGTTGCAATCAAACAGTGTGTTTCACACACTTGGGCGAATCCAGAATGTGACTTGTTGGGTTTGGCTTAATCTTTTGCCCTGCTAGGGTTTGTAAATGTGCTCTAGGGGCTGGTTCAAATATTACATTCCATTACTGACGGTGAGTAGCCCAATAGCCAAAGGAGACACAAACTATGATTGACGTCCTACAGTGACAGAGTTTCACCTAAACCCCAAACAAACAAGAGTTTGGGATGCTTTGTTGAACCCAACTGTTATCTTTTCCTGGTCTCTTCTTTACAACTTCTCGGACTCTGAGTTTAAATGGACTGTTTGGTGTTCTCAATTCTTTCTTCTTTTTGTGAAGTAGCTTCAATGGTGGGATTCAAATTTTTTTTTTTTACTATGGCTTGGTGGGTGTGGTTTGGTGGAAGATTACTGTAAAATCCCCATTCCCTCTCCACCCCGCTAACCTGCTTTCCAGCTCCATTCTCCCGTGCAGGGCAACCAAAAAAGATCTAGCCGATCAGCTGGGACTCGGGAGGTGGAGACTAGATGGGGGTGGGGCCAGTCAGAGGTGGGATTTGCCGGTTCTATAACCTACTCAAAATTTCCGCTACCGGTTCTCCAGAACTGGTCAGAATACCACTTCTGAGTACCTTGCTATAAATTGGGAGGGGCACTTAAGAAGGACGCACTTTCTTAGCAGGATCAAGAAGTTGTCACAAGCCTCAAGTAGATCGGTACTTACTCCCAGTAGGGATGAGGTCCCGGTCTGGAATGAAGAGCTTATATCCGTACTGCTTCTCCAGAACATCTGGCAAAATTTCAAGGACAAATTGTTCTTCCTCCCGATTGTCGCGGTCTAATGTATCGGGATCGACTTTTGTGTATGACAAGTAGGCGTCGTATTCTTTGTTGTCTGCAAATAAAACGACAAAGTGTGGGAAGAGAAGGAAGAGAAGATCTTAAAGGAGCTTGTGCATGAATGCACGTCTGAATGGTTTCACTATCCAACAACTCTAATCGGTAGTCCTGGGTCAAGCAGTGTTTCTTAAACATTGATTTATAGAAGTATCTTGGAGGCGGAACTAAGGATCCTGAGTAGTCTAGGTTTATAATTCAGCCACCTTACTAAAGAAAAGGTAGGTGCGCTAATAACTGTCGGACAACCCATTTAAGAATCCCAATATGCATTAACCTTGAATTGCACCATTGAAAAAAGGTGGCTATGATTGGAATAGAATAGAATAGAATAGAATAGAATAGAATAGAATAGAATAGA